CGGAGGACTCGGTGACTCACCTGCTGGTAAAAGTAGACCATCATATGTGATCTTCGTGGGATACAGCTTTCGCATGATACCATCAATCGCTTCTAGGGATAGTTCAGAACCTTTCTTGTCAGACCTTTCAGCCAAGTTGCGGAATCTTCCGTCAGTCTCCAACAATTCTAGCTCCACCTCTTCGAGGCCGACTTCGTCTTGTTGGAAGACGTCTTCTAGCTGTTTTAGAGCTTCGAACTTCGTAAAGTCATCAGGGGACAGAATATCTTCGACACAGGCTTTGACTTGCTTTCTGGCTATGTAGCGCACGAAGTGTGGGTCTTGCAAAGCGGTTGTAACGGCTGATGCGAGCTCTTTGACGTGTCGGCCATTATCGTCGAAATACTTACTAGAGGACGAGGTTGATGTGTCTTTCTTCGATGATGTTCGGGAGCCTCCATTTGCATTTGCTTCAGCAGCAGCCCTCTGATTGTTGAACATCATTCCAGCTCCGTCATCAGGTAGCAAATGGACCAAAGCCACCTGCACACGCTGTAAAGCAGACACATCGCGTTCTTCTGCCCGTTGTTTGCTTAGCTCTTCGTTGGCAACGTTCTGATGTTCGTTTTCTAGCTCGTCTTGCACATCAATCTCGTCAGGATCAAAAATCTCCGCATCTGCGCTAGCTTGTGCCAGTCTCTCCGCTAGAAACAATTCGTTTCCACCATGTAACAGGTGTTTAGCAGTGGCCAGGACTAAGACTGCGGAGTTGTCGGCATTAGCTGTGATCGGGAAACCAGGTTCCGAAACGACTCGCAGGTTGCCTGGGTCGCGAACATTGATGTTGATCTCAGTGAACTTCTGTTCGCCGTCGTCTGAGATCGGCTTGCCACTCTCATCTTCCTCCTCATCTGATTCCCCGTAGTGCATGAGATTTGCGTTTATCCGAAAAGTTCCAGTTGGGTTTCCATCTTCTTCCGAGAGATTTTCTTCCCCTTGTTCGCTGCACCAAGCCATCGTTTGCTCCTGCAAAAACTTCTCAAAGCTCAAGCGTACCGCTTCCGCGATACCATGTTGTTCGTCCACGAGATGCTTTCCGTGAACCAACAGGGGGTGACGCGACACTGCTGCCTCCTCACCACTTGCATTGCCACGGCCAGAGAAATGCAGACGCAAGGAGACTCCGACTTTCGTCTCCAAAGAAATCTCGTCTTTACTCACCGCCATGGGTTTGGCGTACAAACGTAAATCGATTGACAACAAGCTCCACAGCGTCTTTGAGCGTCTAGACCATCTGTCGTCTGGGTCTCTGTCCAATGGCAAGAGGTACGGAATGATCAAAGTGCGAGTTACTTTCAGAACCTGGTTCTTTTTTCGTGTAGAATCATCGTCGTGATCACCTTCTTCTCCGGTACTGCCACCTCCATCGTTGTCGTCTTCATCCGGATCAGAGCCACGACCTGCTCCTCTGCCTCCGTCTTTACCACCATCATCTTCATCTGCCTCGTCATCTTCTTCAGTGCCATCATGAGCTTTGTACACGTAATGCATCACCAATTCCGTGAAGACGTCATTCAGAGCGGCTTTCCAGTAATCCGTGTACTGGCCTTGCTCCTTGAGAAAGTCCTGGTCTGACTGTACCCTTTGGCTGAGCTCAAAGAATCGACTGTCGAAGTCTTCAGCACGTTGAATAACCCCACTGGCCAAAGCTTTAGTTCGAGCTTCAGCCACTCCTTCCCGCAGAGTCTCTTCGAAATCAAGGGTATCTGGACCCGTTTTACGATCGCTTGTACTAGAACTATGAAGTGAAAGCCGAGGTCTACGACGATTGCCACCAAAATGGCTCTTCATCTTTGAACTAGATGGATCCTCCAAGTCGTTCCGTCTCAATGGTAATCCTGCGACACCTGCTCCCTTAGCATAATCGTCAAAAGTAGGAAGGAAGAAACCTGGCAAAGTCGCTGTATGTAGTCCAGAAAAGTGTTGTTGTAGACCAAATGGTGATGTAGTTGCGCCTCCACGACCTTGAGGTCCACTTTGCGCAACAAGGCCTTGTACTTGCACTTGAAGCCGTCTCTCATCCAATCTCTTCCTTTGATCTGCGAGGTGCAAATGACGCAACAATAGAAGCTCCAATCGCAGAGGTGCTTGTCGGAAATCGCCCATTTCAGGAGACCACATTTGCTTGCCTGAAACAAGAGCCGGACTTTCTCCGTAGTCGATTTCCATGTCATCAGGTTGGCCTTGTCCTTTCTTCTCCTCTTTCGGACCACCTGTCAAAAGTGCACGCCAAGCACCCATCTTGCGGAATTGCGACCACGTTCCTCTGCGGGAGTACTCGGAAGCAATCTTCTCAACAGGTTTTTCTTTCTCAGTGGCGGATTCATGGTCGTTGACGGTGATGTCGTTGACCTGCTAATGGGTGAGAGTTGGAGTTCAGTGCTGAACGAGCTGTTACTACGAAATTTTTGTAGCCTCGATTATCTAAAATGTTCTGGTCTCATCAAAGTTCAAATCATATGCCTTTTTTGCATGCCTGCTACAGATTCGACAGCAATTATTTGTGGTGGCGCAGACCTAACTAGAAAAAAGAAAGACCAGAGGAAGATATCATTGTTGTTCCAGTTCCTTTACCAAGTTTATCGGACTGTTACCCGAAACCCAGCATCCAGCAAAAACTTTGCTCGCAAACTTCGATCTTTCTGGAGTGCTTCACGCTTTTCATGCGCTTCCGAACCGAAGAGGCCATTCTTATCCAACAAAGCTTCATTGCTGAGATTCTCAGGTAGGATAGCGAACAAGGATTTTAAGGCAGCTTCCGTCCTGTCCTTGGAGTAGCTTTTTGTGAAAACATCTTCCGCCAAAACAGTCGGCAACACACTCACCCGACTACCAAATGCTGGCGCGTGAGCTTCGGTCCACAGGTAGTGGTTTTCGTGTGTCAGCCTGGCAGAAAGCGATCCCTGAGCACTGCCATCCAAAGCGTTCCATGGTTTCTCAGAGAGAGCTAGATGGCGGAAGAGTAACTCCATTTGGCCAGGTGTCCAAGAAAATGAACCACCTTGACTTCCACCTACTCCATTATATGATGTTCTTTCCATAGCGAGTATCGCCAGTTGCCGCAAAGCTGACTCTTGCCAGAGGTTCTTGTTTGCGATCGATTCTTTGTCATCAGTAGTGCGGCTTCCGGTTCTGCCTAAAGCGTACGTGTGATACTTTGCTGCGAAGTCTTCTAGGGCTTCCTCTTTCTCGCTTTTATGCTCCTGAGCGGCGATGTTGAGGAAAAAACGCCTTTCGTGATGTTGTTCACTTGGTGCAGGCGGAACAGTTCCAGCAGGAGCTCGTACTGCCACTGCACCTACACCAGGAGCATCACCTGCTAGCAGGAGGAAGACAGAGAACACCTTCATCTTGATGGTGCCTCTGCGTTTCGCGACTGCCATCTGCTTCGACATGCGATCCGTCTCTGGAGAGCAGGCTAAGCTGCTAGTATTGGTTTATGTGATACCGGGGACCTACTACTACTTTCTTCACCTGCACTTCCGCATGGATGTTGATGCTTTTGCTTGCTGCTGAAAGTGAAACTCTAACTCTTCTTGTTTATAAATTTGCTCGCGTTCGGGTACGTTGTTGTACTTACATGCAGTTAGTTAGATGATAAGTTCATCTCGACGTCCCACATGAAAATTATGTCATATATATTAAAAGTAACAAGTACTTGCTCGTCGACGGAACAACAAGTAAGAAAACAATCAAGGACGAATATATTCATTGGGGAATAATAAGATCCAAAATCACGATATTCGGATGAACTGACTAACATCAACAAATTCTCCACCAGACATGATTTTGATTACAGGACGAAGGACTATCTTCAATAAACACACGATCAAGAACAAAACATTCATAAATTCATTGGCCAAGGCGATAGTTGTACTGGATTACCACTCGTTTCAATCAATCTTCAAGTTGGCGCAATTTTACAAGAAGTTCATAGTCGAGGACCAGGACCACAGCAAAAAATATGACATAATTCCTATCATCTTTCTTCGAGCGCGACGAGATACATTTTCAATATCAAAGTACTTAAAACCAACAACACGACAAGGAATGATATTTCTGACAAGTTCAACCGAAACCAGGGAAATAAAAGAATAGATTCATACGGTCTAATATAGCGATTACACACAGAAGCAAGAAAACGAAAAGAAAACTATCATATAAAAATGAAAAGGCGGCTAGTGCTCTTGTTCCTTCACGGGCTAGGGAAAGATCAATGAAAACCCTTCTTTTTCTTTTTCTGAAGAAGAAGATGATAATGTTAATGATACTAATGTATGTCTATCTCCTGAGCGGTCTATCTCTAAAGATCTTATGTACTAGTACGTCAATTTGACAAATGACGCTTCGATTGTGAATCAACCTGTTATTTTTGTTTTGAGGTGATCGTGATGTAAGGGGTGATGTAATGTTTTTTATAATCTAGACAACGAAGATGTAGGGTCAGTCAATATGTTGAGTACTTCGACTTTGTAGCGGTCACCAGGGCAGTCAATATGTTGAGTACTTCATCTACTTGTTCATGTGAGTACCATCATTTTGAGATTTTCAAGTGCTGTGCGTGTCTGAAGATGCTTGCTTCATCTGGTGAGCCGATGTGGTGGAGCGAGAGAGACAGAAATATCAAAAAGATCGCCAGTGCGCGCGGAAGAAAGTTCCTCGCGGCCTCGTTGTTTTTTGAAAGCTGTTCTCTTTTTGACATTCTCTTGTGATTTTGAGGAGTTTTCAACATGACATCTCAATTTCAAAGTCTTTTCTGTCGATATTAACATGGAGGATCCAACGACCTTCAATCTTTGGAACGACTTTCACGCTTCACACGAGGTGGATTTGTAGACCACGACTCCATGTACATTTTATGGAGTCGTGGTCTACAAGTCCACCTCGTGTGGGTCCACGAATTCAAGCCACGCAGTCTGAACTTCTCGTATCGGTCATTGTTCCTCCCTCTCACGCTTTTCGGGATCGGAGGAAGCTAAAGCCGCGTGGACCCTTGCTTCAACGGCGTAAAACCTCAGTCAGGCGTTCTTGAGAAACGTTTTGTTTGGCCGATGCTTTGTCATTTGCGGTTCCTATTCTGATGCATTTTGGTTACTATTCTGATGCATTTGTATTATGTGATTGTATTGAGCTCCGAACGAAGGATCGACAAACCTAGATTATTTATCATGCGGTTGGGTCTCTCTGATCGTTGGGAACCAGGCAACAAGGACAAGCCTTGAGCCAAACTGGCTACGGGTACGGAGACCACGACTCCATATTTTATGTTGTAGTCGAATGTGTGAATGTCGTCCTTGTCTATAATCATGATGGATTTATTGGATGACGCATCTTCCAAATAGAATGTCCTTACTAAATTTACTTCCTTGGGAAGCTGTTTCGTTATTTCGCTAATTTTTCGTTTCTCATCATCATCATCATCGTCGGTCATGCCTTTGTCTTTGATGCTTAATCGTTCAAATGATCTTTCTCTTTTTCTTTTTGCAGACAACAACATTGTAAAATAAAATCCTCATCTTCAAAATAATAAAACTTAGTCGTATCTATTGGATATCGATATTCACTTTTTCCTTATCTTTTACACCCGTGAAACATAAAAACGATTAATCTTCGTAATGCAGACAGTAGACTGTAATGGTATTTCTAGATTAGAAATCTCGTCAGCATCGGTAGAGCTTCTAGTACCTCATACTTTTTCTTTAGGTGGTTGTAGTCTTTTTTCGATCACTCACCTCCACTTTCGTTCAAGCAGATAATTTCATCTAACAATAGATGCAACCCAAGTAGCACTTCTTTTCTCGTCATTTGATCTAAAACTTCTGCTAGAGGACAACAACGACAAAAACTGCACAGCGAGTCCAACTGACCTACTCCTCCCGACCCACACCGGCGTCGTACACGAGTTTACTCCATCCGCTGTCCGTCTCTTTGCAGATGAAGACACCTTGCTGCAGATATTAGCAACACGAAGACTGTAAAAAATTGAATAGAAGGAACTTTTGTGGGAGTTGTTAATGTATTCCAATTCCCAGTGACTATTTTTTAAGAGACCAGTACTAATTCTTTCTGTAACTACAAGTTGAAAAACAGTAGTCCGTAAAGAGTGACGTTTTTCACCAGCCATACTTATATTACTGCTCCGTTGTTCCCTTGTTCTTCTGACTGTTCTGCAACCGCTGCTGCCATTGCTGACTCTGCCGGTTCTGCTGCTGATTCTGCTGACTCGAATTTTGGCTGTGGTGCTGACTGTCATACAGTGCGCCGTTGGTGTTGCTGCTGTTAGAAATAAAGCTCATTTCTAGTTTTTCCAAGCACAACCCTAGTGTTTTCAGATGATAGATGAAGGTCCTGCAATCATCTGCTTCTTGATGTTGATTATCATGAACATGCATGAGAATGAGTAAAAAGAAGAGGAGGAAGCTGCGTAGTACTTCAGGTGACAGGGGTCGGCACACACCATTTTTTGAATGATACTCGTCATAATGGTTGCGCAATTGGCTTTGGCACTGTCTTCGATGTTGTAGTAGAGGTTGAGATTAGAAGAGAATCTTTGGGAGCAATAGCAAGTTCATTTTCAAGCAAAAAAGAAGTTGTAGGACCCTTGACGACCTCTCTTTCCAGTGAAAAAAGAGGTAGAACCAAGGATCATGATCATGTATGAGGTAGGTAGGAGGAAAGGATGCTTTAGAAACACAAGTAGCCTTAAAGACACCGAGGTTACTTTCCGCGTGGTCGAGGCCGCAGCTTGCGTCGTTGAATGTTAGAAAGACAAAGATTTGACGAATTCATATCCTACATGATGATGCATTTCTCATATTAGAAAGAATAAGAAACCGAAAAAGTAACGAATCCACCATATGCATGACGATTTTAGGATGATAGGAATAGGATAGGATAAGATAGGACGCCTTTGCTTCGCTTTCTCATAATGGCGTCATGCACTTTTTCTTCTTTAGAAGAAGACAATAAACGCTCAAAGAGTTTTTCATAAAAAGCCAATGGAATGGTAGTAACAGGTTGCTTTGACCGTATAATCGGGAGCCTGCCAGATCTTAACGCGGAAGGCGGCGCAGTCGCCCATGGCCACTGATCAATATTGGAAAGACTGTGGATTACGTCACGTTGTTTGTAGTTGAATAAAGTTGTTTGAAAGGAAAAAGACGAAGAATACCTCCGATAGCAAGATGAATGTAGGACGAATTGATAAACTCAGATGGTGCCTCAGCTCCAGCTCGCTACTGTAAAGATTGTCAATCTGCTACGAATGTCTATGGAGGTAGTGACGATGAAGCCGAGCAGCTATAACTAGAAAATATAAATTAAACTAAAATAGAAACGAACAATAAACTTAAGAAATGTAGGCTGAGAGACAAAGTAATATTTGGTGAAAAGTCTTCCTCGACTCCATCTTCAAAAAATCTAAGTCATTGTCAATGTCCAAAAATTTTTACCACAATTGTCCTCACACAACTTCGCTAGATTGCCCTGAGAAGGGTGTCCGCCTGACACGTGGACGTCGTCTGTGGGTGCACCTGGCATCACATGGATTAGAGCAGATCGAGAAGGTGTATTTATGGATGTAAGAAAATATAGACAAAATATTCGAGATGAACTAGAACTAAAAGTGCTGGTTCCTCGTGAGTACTATGTATAGTTTTTTAGTAGTCCATAAATTCGCGGACGAATCGCAGTAGCACCGTTTAAGGTCAGAACCAATGGGGGCCGCCATATGCTCATTCACAAGCGAACTGCATTGGACGCCGATATTAGATGGAATGAGGATGAGGATGAGGATTCATTTTGATCATGATGTTAGCCCAACCTTCATCTTCTACTGATGATTTGAATCGATTTTCATTTGGACGAAAGGTGCTTAAAAACCTTTGTCAAAGCAGTGTAGCTATGTTATGTCATGTTGCCTCATGTTCCATCCTATCAAATGGTATTGAGGATATATAACAGCAACGCCTTAACGCCAGGGTATGCTTCCCAATATGTAGGAGCACAGGTTTGACTCGTCGTGGTGCTAGGGGCCGCAGTGGTGCTGGTAATCGGTTCAATCCCGCCGTTCCAACCATTTTTGGAGGTTGAGGAATTACATTCCTCAGAACATCCCTGGCGCCTCTTTTAAGTAGAAAAAGAGCCAAGGATGGTAGTGCGGGATGTAATTCGGTAACCCTTAAGCTTAGCACTGCCGTTGCTCCAGCCATTGCCGTTGTTCGAACTTGAACCCCCAGTCCGGCCTGTGCTGTTCGTCGTCATCTCAGGAGCGGGCGTCCTCGTCTCTTCGTGCTTAGAACTTGAGTACAGAAAAGTCAACTTCTCAGTGAAAATGCTGGTACTACAACAACTAAAAGTACAAGTACTGTCTCAACAGAAGAGAATTCTTTTGTAAGACGAGCCTCGATGTCGACTATACTCGAATGCTGTAGTTCACAACTGATGTATTGAGTCCTCTGAATGCTCTCACAGATGGAAAAACGTCGTTCATGGTACTATCTCTAGTCTTTACATATATTTAAACAATATTTTCTTCTTTCTCTGGGGCGGCTCATACACCAACTTTATCCAGAGCCCGACCCCTGTTGACTGTTGTACTTCTCTTCATCACGATCATTTTCTCGAGGCTTGTATCATTGAGGCTTCCCCTAATCCATCCTCTGAAGCATCTTGGGCACGTTTTCATGGGGGAATCGGTCTCAGGATGCATCTCAGGATGGATTTGGATAAGGGTGAGCTCTAATATTATATATACGTCTTTCTTCTAATGATCATCATCATCATCATCATCTTCTAGCACCTTTCCCTCCACCGCCTGCCATCATCATGATCTATCACCAGCATGCAGCATAGTATGATATACTTAAGTAAAACAGAAGCCGATCATTTCTCAAAACATCTTCCATTTCATCCAAACATCTTCCATATCTTCCACCTCAGGCGGCTCCGTCATTTCTTCTATTTCTTCTCCATTGTGGTCTTCTTCCACCTCCACGTCATCTTCGTCTTCGCTATCCATATCATCTTCACCTCTGCTCTTTTCATCTTCTTCCTCGCTGCGGCTCTTTGTAGTACTGTTGAAGCCTCTGCGTCGAGAAAAATGTCGTAGCGATCATTAGAGTGAGGAGGAAGGATGTGATAATGTCTTTGAAGCTGTCTAGCATGATTGCCAGAATATATACTTAGTTCGAGTTGTTCCATGATGAAGATTCATGATTTAGTCGTAGGAGTAGTAGTAGTAGCTAGCAGATGAGACTGCTAAGAGTACTAGAAGTGCTTTATGAAATACTGGTTAACCTGGAATAATGGTTAACCCATTCAGGAATAGGCTTTATCCGAAGGAGTAGGGATCATTACAGTGAGTCCAAAGTTAGGATAGGAGAGGAGTGGGCTCACCACCTATGAGGGGGTGAGCGTTCGAGGCCATTCAAGAGAATGGATGATGGATTCAATCAATTTCATTGATACTTCAGTTTATGGAGTAGAGTGGTAAGACCCTGCTGCACTTCACGGGCGATCAAGATGTGTGTGTTTGCCACACTCCGTTTTTTGATTTTTTTCTTAAGACCCACGGCTTCGATGCGCTGAGGACAGTTGACGATTCTTCGCATTCAACGACGAGCGGAGCCGCGACGTAGAGTAGTACGGACTAGCGCGACCATCACCATTAGAGCTGCTCACACTGATAAATAGGTACGTCTCGAAGAGGTCGATCCTGTTGGGAAAGATAGTTTTCCCATTAGACAAACGTCTCTAAGTAGACGCTTCTAGCACAAGTGGGAGATTTACCGTTCTCCCCTAGAAAGGAAACGTCTCACTCTCCTAGGAAGTGGATGACTCTTTGACATCTCTACACAAGAAACTTGTAAAAATTCGGATGCTTGATATAAAACTACATTAATCTTAGATGGATTCCGATTAGAGAAAGCTGCCCTAAGAGAGGGCGTGAAGAGGACCCTTGCTCCAGCTTCGTGGGTCGTAGCGGAGAGAAACAAAGTAGTTCCAACGACCGAAGAAGCCGCTTTGCGCATCATCTTTTCTTGGGGTGGATCGATAGAGATAAAGATAGACCTTCGCGGCTATCTGATTATAGAGTTAGTAGAGAAGGTGTTTCTACTTGGTGGTGCAGGAGGACGGTAGTGACCACTGCTAGCAGAGCGCGGACGTCGGTGACCACTCCTAGAGGTATACGAATGCGAAACGAACTAAATCAGACCTAACATTGCGGTTGGAAGGGTAGAAGTTCCGAAACCAAGTCCAAGGGCGGTGAAATGAATCATTCTTCTACTGAGGGTGGATGTGTAGGTGAAAGAGTTTGAAGACGAGCTTTCAGTTTGCCACGACATTGTTCGACTCAAATTCGGGCTCTTCAACACTCGCTCAGAGCGGACTGTTCTCACGACCACTACATCATTTGGTCTGTAAAAGTAATAAATCATCCTCGCAGTAATATCTTCCCAAACAAAGTAATTGAGCCATAACGTCTCTTCTCCTGGGGGGTTAGCCTTTCGCTCACGCTCTCAGGGGTCGCTCCCAGGGGTCAATATCCGAGGTCTCAAGGACTAACATCCAAGGGATCAAACAGAAACGGCGGCGCCCAGCTTCGTTGGCGTCAAGAACACAGTGGCACCCTTAACGAGCAGCCGTTCGCTATTATATCACCGCAATAGCGTGACTACACTAGGTTTTTTCTGTTTGCAATGGCCCAAATGGCCGGCCACTGACAAGACTGACGCGTGGCGTTTTTGCTCCTTGTTGTGGTTGTTCCTTCTCTGCTTCTCTATGACCTTGCTGGTCCTTGTTTTAGTATACTATAGCTACTGACCGCAGTACTAAGCTGATCACCATAGTGGTGGCATGTACCACGTCGGTCCTAGTGCTGTCGGTGCTCTGCCATGCTCTTGGTTCTTGGTGGTGGTCGTTGTGCTGTTGTTCGTTGTTGATGATCATGATCCCCGTGGTGGTTATGATCTTGACCATTACCCTCGCGACGATCTAGTTACTTTCTTCTTGCGTTTGCGCTTGGGGCCTGGGTACTGACATCCCAGCATCCCACCCCACGAAAAAAAGAAAAAAAGAGCTAATCTACACGCTCGCAGATTGGATTTGTTTTAGCATTTAAGCCCAATGCAAAGTTACTGCGCTCTAGGTTCCTTTTTTAATCTTTTCTACTTGTGCCTTTAGTCTTACTTTTTGCTTTTACTTTTTCCTTTCAATTAGTGGTTTAATTCTTTTAAACTTCTCCACGTCCTTCAAAGCGCGCCCACTCTGCCGAGCTCGACAGTAGGCCGCTGCCAGCTCGGGTGGTCTTCGCCTCCTTCTTTGTGCTCGTTTTCTGTGTCTGTTTTTTCTAAACTCTAAAGCCAGAACATATCAGGGCCAAAGTTAAGTAGCTCTGCTTCTGTCCTAAGGACAGGACACTGCATTAGCACAAGAGGCAAAGAGGGCAAGACATCTAGCAAATATATATAAGTATATAAGAAAGTAGAAAAGTAGACAGAAAGAAGATCGTAAGTGTAAGATCTCTCTTGACTGCACTATGTCCGAACTCCCGTAGTAAAACACTGTTACACGGACTTCAAAGCATTAGTAACATGCTTACTCTTAATTCATTTACTTGGCTGATCATTTTCTTATAATGTACAACCACGATCACGATTTTGTTTCCAAAGGTTAAGGCGTTGAGTATTCGCTGCTGTTCTTTAGAGGTAGCCAATTGTAATTAACAAAGAAAATTTTGATCGTTGAATCTTTAGTGGTGCATCTTCATCTTCTTAGTGTACAACTAGCGGCCTAGTTTTCTTCTTTTCCAGAATAATCAGATCACGCGAGCCATCTTCAAGATGACGCCATTCCAACCCCACATAGCGGAGAGGCAGCCCGTTCCCTGCAGCGCCAGCGTTCGTTTCTTCCGTCACTTCCTCTGGCGACAGAACGTCGAACTCGAAGGTCAAACTCAGACTCAAAGAATTAGAAACGACGGGAAGATCATGGACTCTCAGTCTGACGTAAGCAAGCGATCGCCCTTCTCTGGGGGCTTCTCGCGTGATTTTCTCCACTGTGCCAAAACGGCCGAGCGCGCGCGTCAGGGCGCCATCGTCAGAAACAGCAGGCCTCTCTGGTTCGTCATGATGACGTTTAGACAGCCACTCTCTGACTCTGCATAACGTCCCTAGGAGGGGTTTGCTCTTTGCTTGGTTGAACATCCCTTCAAATCGATCTGTCAGGTCCACCGTATTTTCATCTGTCAAAGGAGTTATATTAACTGTCGTCTGTGCAGTAACATGCCACGGAGACGGCCTCTGTTTTCCGATTTCGCGCATTTCTTGCAGCCCCGTCTTCGTCATCGTACCCATTCGACGAAACAGCTCGTTCTCTGGGCGGACAAAAGAATGAAGCTGATCAACCACAGCGGTTGGCGTACTCGACATGACACCCTCAAGCAATTCACTAGCAGCAGTGCCCTCCGGGGGTAATCCCCACCACATGGCGGCGTCATCCCTTGCGGTGGACGTGGAAGACAGAAACGTGTCCCGAAAGGCACCCAGTGTACGCGAGGACGGAGCGGGTGGCACTTGTTCTCCCGAGGAAGAGGATGCAATGCTGTTCGCCTGCTGCGTTGCATCCGATTCCGAAGACAGGAGGAACGGCGCAACCCCGTCTCTTTCCAGCATGAACAAGAGTTTTGCGAATGGTGAACTTTCATCGGGCAGCATTGAATCACCAGGCCGCGCAGCCCACAAATGATCTTGCACAATCCTCATAAGCCCAGGCTCTGCAAAAACGGACTCCCGAGCCGACGTCTGTGGAGATTGTTCCTCGGGGTGGACCGTTTGAGGATCATCTTCGGCGTTTGAGAGTTCACTAGGAAAACAACTCGAGAAGCACCTTCGTCCCAGCCTAGGCAAGGAGAGAAAAAAGTTTCCGCAGCCCGATGCAGATGCTCCCGCTACTTCGATAGTGCGACTGCCTTCATCTTCGTGTAGTAGAGGACTTCTCCCTAGTTCTGACGACGACCTCCCATTTTCGCCAGGATTTCGGGCCGCCGTGGTCGCACGCGTTTCTTCTTGTTCTGCATTTAGACGCTCTCCGACATTTCCAACGCCTGCCTTGAGTTGAATCCCAGTCGTGGTCGTCACACTCACAAGGAAACAACACATTGGGAAAGAGAACTGCAGCGAAGTAGAACTTTTCATTTTGAAAATTAAATCTGCACAAGGAAATCAAGTTCAAGAATTCGGTGGTTCGACTTCGAGTCTCTGTAGTACTCAAGTCCTCTGATGATCTGAATCAATATCGCCTTGACCTTGTTGTTGTTCCTCTTCCTTGATGAAGTAATAAAAAAAAATTAAAAACGAGGGCTCTTGTACTAGCGGACGGCACCAGTGGTATGGTAGATATTTTCAACTCAAAAGGTGACTGTTAGGATGCAATTCTTGAGAGAGAAGATGTGGCGGGCCAAAACAGTAATTGGGAAAGCGATGTGGGCCAAATTTATACAGTATCGCTCTAGATCTGCATCATCTCCCAAAAGGGCGATCTCTTTTCTCTTTTAGGTCCTCCTTGTAGGTCCTCTCTATAGATCGCAGCACACATGTAGAAGTTGATCCTTCGCATGATCCTAGAGCGCCTTACTTCTAGATCCTTCGTAAGCAAATATCCCAGATTGATGATCTTCGTTACTTCTTCTGGGTCCTCTCCATACAAAAGTCTTCCTTTTCTTTGTTCATCATGATCATGATGATCTACATCCTCTTTATAAAAGATTGCGCAGCTAGATCCTTCCTTCCTTTGGTAGATCTTCCTTTCTATAGATCGCGCATATAGATCCTTCCTACCATCCTTTTATTGGTAAAGAGGAGCTCGAGTTCGTCTTTCATCAATCATCATAGAAATTCTGATAGCGGATCTCCTGCTCGAGGATGATGATAAACCCAGGAGCATGGGGCCAAAACGGTCCATGTCTTGGGAAGATCTTGGACTTGAGAGCGTCTTTTTGAGAACTTCTTGTAGATGTAGTTGCATTCTTGTATAATTGCTGTAAATAAATAGTTTGACCTATTTTCAGTGGCGGTGTGGATCGTTCTACTCAGTGATCTTCAGGAGTCGCAAGTTGAGTTGGTGACAGACGAAAAGCGTCAGCATCGTCCTACAGGAGGGAAACGCAGCATCTTTGTCCTACAGGAGGCATCGTCTTGCGGATCGTCATAAGGTGCGGATTGAAAGAAGTATGGATCGTTCCAGCATTCTTTCCATTGGTAAAAGTGCTTCTTATGTAGCGCTCTTTTTCGAAGATCTCGGGTACGTATTTAGCACAACTTTGCAACGTAGGCATGCACCAATGCTAGACAGCCGCCACAGGTTTATGCTCGCAATGTTTCGAATCCTGCCGGCAAGCGTGCACATTACACCTGCAAAAGCATGCTGATGTTCGTCGTTCATTGAAAGATCATTATTAGAGAATCTGCCTTTTCTCTCGGCTTCTCTAGTTGTCTGCGGCCATGTTCTCTCCTCTTGAACTGAGTATTATTTTTCTTTGGTTCAACTAACAAAATGACCGATATCGCAACGATTGACATATTTCCTTCTTTAGTGACTGGCTCTCTTTTCACTATCATGCTGGTATTTGTGGCGATCATCGTCATCCTTGTGGTGGTACACGTTAAAGCCGTAAAGTAAACCATTCCCCTCGCCGTATGACTGGGCTACTGCTGTGTCTGTAACCTGCAAAGAAACGAAAAGCTTGCGCACATTTTCGGCTTCTTAAAACAAGTTCTGCGTCCTCCTAGTACTATTTCACACGATAAGAGATCCTCTTGCTCCAGAAGTATTCTGTTAGTGAAACTCAATGACCTCAAAAGATCTTCTACAAAAAAATCAGTCAAGGTGCTTTTATCGTCATCCCAGTACATTAAATACAAATAAACTACACACGAAGATCTACTTCTATTAGTAAGTGCTCCATCCGGATTCAATCCTCTCTGTGCATCCTGCATCGTCTCTAGGGCTTTCTGTGACATCGCTCTTGCCTCAGCCGTTGTGTCCGGCAAGTCTATAAAAGGAAAAAGCGCACTCACACTCACGGAAGTAGCTACTTTCCTACTTAAGTACTTGAATCCTAGCCAATTTCTTGAGTGTGAGTGCACTTTTTCCTTTCGGTGAAGGAAATGCAATACAATACGATTAATCTCGCACAGTTTTTAGCGCAGACTGCCGCGCGGCGTCATAGTGTTTCGCCACGATGCTTACTCACACAAGTTTTGACTAAACTAACAGCGACACGGACCTGAGGAAAGAAGTGACAACAAACTTACTCAAGCGCTACCTTTAAGCAACAACATCAGCCTACCTAGCACAAGCAGACGCCTGAGATTAATATCGAGCCATGTGGACAGAAACGGAACGGCTAAGACAAAGGCTCGAGCTCTGTATCATCTGTAGTTCGCCTTCTTATTATCTTCTTTTGAGAGCCTGAACTACTGAGAAACTTCGGATGATAGGCGCCAAAAAAACGCGAAAGATCTTGGAAGGAGGAGGTGGAGCAAATAGTAAGAGTAACAGCTTTCCAAAATTATAAATCAGAGAGAGGTGCTTCTATTTTTTTAAGAACAGAGGGATTAAGCCTTTGATGTCAATGAATCATTTTTGTGCCTATTTTCTATCAGAAACCGTTACGCGGCTATACATTTTGTAACGCGGTTTCTTACTTCGAGAGTGAGACGGACAATTTCTCTGTTTACCAAAACTGGTAAAAATTAGAAAAGTTATTACACAACCGATATGAATGGAGGCAGAGGAGCAGGAGGGGTCGTGTGATTGTAAAGTCGTGTCAAAGTGGTATGATCTTTGCTTTTTCAATTGCATCCTAGTAGCCAGAGCTTCGTTGGCATATGTATCAGACATCAACTCAGATCTGGATTTTCTTGTTTCCGAATACCGAGATTGGCGGATCACCTAGTGGATTAGTAGCAGAGCATGATATTCTAGATCGTATGGAAATTATCCAGACCTCCTCCTTCGCCTTCGGATCTTCACATAATGGATACTATTCAAATGGAAGAAACACCTATTCATTCGAGGTTAGACTCAGGAGAGCGAAAAAATCTTCTACTTCGTGCGTCTTTATCATGGCAGTCTGCTGTCCGTCTTCATTGTGCTACTGCTCTTGAGAGAATGAAAAACATAAAAAAAAGCATGTTCATGAGCATCCAAGTCGCGTGTCATCATCAATGAAACCCGATAAGACTGAAGCAAAACAACTGACTTTGTGTTCTCGGCGCCCCCCTTCTTCGCGAGATGTAAATTGTCACTAGCTGCTTGTTAATCATCAACACTAGGTGTGTGTTTCTTCGAAGTTCATAAGTAACTAGAATTCGATGTCGCTTCATTAGCTGTGGCTGTTCTGCTTTTCTTGATAAGATGAGACCCATAATATGTTTTTAGATTCATTGTATGCAACTAGATCATGTCGATAGGTCTTTCGGTTTATGGTACCACTGCCATTTCAACTTCGATCTCTTCGCATTTTCCCCGTCGAGACCCTCACAGACACAGCAGCAGACTTTTTTCAGATCATACTTGACGAGTCCACAATTCTAGATATTTATAAGTCCACAGTTCTACATCTAAGTCTAACTAGATCTGAGTCCAAAAGTCTGAGCCAAGGATAGCCGTTACAAAATCCCTCGACGCCGTCGATTTCCCAATTGCGCAAAGCGCTATGTTCTTGGCCTCGATATTTTTCTCCAAGTCAGCCTTTTGTGTATGCAAGCGGCGCAACTCAGCCTCTTTTTGAGGGAATTAGAGCGTCAAGATACTGCGTTTTTTTTTTTGTGAGTAAAAAGTTTCTGCTCGCTCCTGCTATATAATTGATTCCTCCTTCTATTGTTTAGCTTCAGTACTGCTTTTCATAAGTCCAAAACCGGAAGAGGCGCTCGCGCTCTCGGTACAAGCTTATTTGCGTCCCCATCAAGACTTGCAGTCTGTCTTTACGCAACTTTGGGCCCGATATGGCGTCCGCCAGGCGCTCGTCGTCTTCCAGCAAATCAGGATATTAGATGGAGCCAGATTGCGAAAGACGCTGTAAGTACGAGCAGTACAAGAGAACAAGAACAAGAATGCGTATGAAGAGTACACAGCGTCGAGTACGTGAATGCACATATTTAGCCATCATGCACTAGGTGGAATAGGACGAATAGGAACTACTGACTCGCCGTCCACAGGAGGAACCTGTACGTTCCTCCATCATGTTGTACTCGCCAGCAGTTATATTGGAGAAAATTCAACTAAGGACTGCAAAAATCCGGACAAAGTTCAATCTTCTCGGGCATGATACGAATCCGCAGAACACTCGCCGCCTACTGCGCTCCCTTCTGGAAAACCCTCACCCAATTGCGAGCCAAGAACCTCGGGCGCCCTCCAAATCCCCGCGCCCCTCC